CTGGCCAGTGTACTTCAAAGAGAGCTACCAGCAGTATGTCATTGGAGGCTTGTGTGTTACTATGATGCTGAACAGGTTTCAGTGTAGTTTTCTGCCTGCGACAGACTGGGAAGAAAGGCCTGGCTGTCTACTTCCAGAAAATCAGCCAAGAAAACACATGAATCTCAGTGGTCCTATTCTGCTCTCACCCTGGCTGCTTGGATGGCAGCTAGCAACAATAATAACTTTGTAACCAATGGGGCATATAAGGAAGAAACCCCCCAACTCTCCCCCAAAAAACTCACTGTCATCGAGTCGATTCCAACTCCTAGTGATCCTATAGGACAAAGTAGAATTGCCCCATAGGGTTTCCAAGGCTGTAAGTCTTTGTGGAAACAGACTGCCTCATCTTTATCCCCTGGAGTGGCTGGTGGGTTGAACTGCTGATCTCTGGTTAGTAGCTGAATGCTTTAACCACTGTGCCACCAGAGCTCCATATCAGGAAGTAAGAAACTTATACTAGTGTAGGTTTAAAACGATAGTAGGGGAATTTTATAGCTTGGAGTATTTTATTTGTATGTTGGATATTTATATTGGAGTGTATTGGGTGTTGATAAAGATGGTAGGGTGGAGTTTGATCATTGTGTCAGCTGCTTTGTGTTGCCTGGAAAGTATGATACTACAGCATGGTTTGTCATTCATAGAAAATCTTTCCTATCATTGTAGAGGAAGGAGCCCTCCTTGAGTAGGAAATGTGTCTTCCTGGGACTGAGTTGGGACTTAACTTAGCACACAGAATAAGTAGCTAAGGTGTTGTTGTTGTTGTTTGCCGTTGAGTCGGCCTCAACTCATAGCGACCCTTCCTTGGGTTTCCGAGGCAGTATCTCTACGGAAGTAGGATTGCCCAACCTTCCTTCCGAGGAGTGGCTGGTGGGTTTGAACCAACCCTTAGTCAAGTGCCTTAGGCACTATGCTACCAGAGCTCCTAGTAGCTAAGGTATCAGAGGCTAATTTTTCCATTGGTATAAATTCAGCCTACTTTTCCCTATGACTGTCCAATTTCATATGAAATTTTATACTGGGGGTGTATTAGAGATAAGGTTATTTATTTGTTTCAAAGGAACCTTTTAATCAGCTTTAATGCTGTCCTGGGTAAAAACTTAATCCTTTCTCTCTTTTAGGGATTTCGACTTTGGGATCCTCAAAGCAGAGCAGCAGTGAAGCAGCCCTGCTTCTTATAGACTTTGCTTTTATTAAATTTCCTTCAGTAATCCTTCTCCAATCTTTTTTGGGTACTGCATTGTTTAAACCTTAAATAAAAATTGTAGCAAAATCAAATTTTCAAATTATTTTCATGAAACTCTAAACATCTAAAACCTCAGAAGATATTTTTTCCTAGTTTATTTTTTAAATTCTAGAAAGTAGGTCAGTAGAAATACCGTCCTTTAATTGGTTTAGTAAGAAATGGAAAATTATAGAACTAGCTAAATTTGAAGTATAAATTTAAATAAGAAATATTCTAGGATTAATACCATTTAAGGATTTAAATTTAAATTACATGCATTTAATAAAATAGTTTATAATTTCTTCTGAAAAAGACTTTTTATACCAAAAAGGAGGCCTGAGTGTTTTTTCTCAATACATAGAGAAAAAATTTACCCTGAGATATAACAACATCTGACCTGCCATCCATCTGTCAGTTTGTTGTACTGTGATGGCTTGAGTGTTTTTCAAGTACCAGCAGGGTCATCCCTGGTGGACAGTTTTCAGAAACTAAAGGTCTACTTCCAAAAATTAACCAATGAAAAACCCTTGGGATCCCAGCAGAATATTGCCCATGATAGTACTGAAAGATAAGCCTTCTTGGTTGGAAAAGCACTCAGAAATACATTGCTGCAGGAGTGGCCTTGAGCATGCCAACGACTGTGAAGATTGCACAGGACCAAGCAACATTTTGTTCTGTTGTTGGTGAGACTGCCATAAGTCAAAGCTGACTTGGTGACAGCTAACAACAATATATGATGAGGAAATATTTTTAGAACTGTGTTTCTCAAAAGGTATACCTAAGAATGTTAGTCTGTTGTTGTTATGTGCCCTAGAGTCATATCCAACTCATAGCAACCCCTCCTTGGGTTTCCGAGGCAGTATCACCATGGAAGTAGATTGCCCAACCTTCCTTCCGAGGAGTGGCGGATGGGTTTGAACTGCTCACCTTCTGGTTAGCAGTCAAGTCTATAGTACTTTAGTAGTATGCCTTGAAAAAAGTGTTCTGTGCTCAAGTAAGTTTGGGAAATATGGAGCTAAACAAATTTAAGAAGTTTCCTGCAGGATTAGAGTACAGCCATTTAAGATGCAAGTATTGGTCTCTCCTAGTCTGGAGCAAAGAAAATGAAGAAAATCAGACGCATGGAAATAATTAGTCCAAGGTGCTATAGGACCATGGGAACCTCAGCTTACACTGCCTTGAGACCAGAACTAGATGCCCAGCTACCACTGCCAGCCACTCAGGAAAGGATTAAAATTGGAGATTCTGGATAGAATGGGAGAAAAATGTGGAACAAAATTCAAAAGCATTAAAAAAAAAAAAAGAGAGAGAGAGAGATTGGGCTTACTGGTCTGATAGTGACTGGTGAAACCCCCAGACTGTGGCCCCTCAGCACCTTTATCTTTCAGCCAAATAAAAGACAGGCCTGTGAGGTGAATAATTACACCAGAGAGGTGCACTCCTTAGGACAGTCGACCTTAGGTGATCAGGAGGGCAGCATTTGTGCAGAGAGAAAGCTCAGAGTGTCTAGGAAGGGATGCAAGCAGAAGATAACCATGGGAAGAAAGTACAAAGAGAGCTGTTCTGTTGTGGGGATTATAATCAATGTCACAAAACAAAACGTGTGTTTCATTGTGTCATCTAAGAACAAAATATGTATGAACTGTTGAATGGAAAATGAATTTTCTCTGTAAACTTTCACCAAATCACAATAAAAAGTTGTGTTTAAAAAAAAAAAAAGTTCTTGCAGGACTTCTTAGAACCTTTAATGTTTTCTGAATTTCTAAACAACAAAACACTGCCGTCTAGTTGAACCCGACTCACAGTGACCCCTCTTTGGGTTTCCGATGCGGTATCACTACAGAAATAGATTTCCCAACCGTCTTTCCGAGGAGTGGCTGGTGGGCTTGAACTACCAGCCTTCTGGTTAGCAGTCAAATGCCTAAGATACTACACCACCAGATGGTGTATATGTAGGGTACAGTGCTTTCCAAACTTACCCTGAACCATCTAGTAACATTTCTCAGAATAATGTTCAGAGCATACAGGTTTGATCTGTTTTATGAATTCATACCTTTGAAAACATGAGGATTTTTTTTTCCAATTATAGTAATAATGTGATATCATTCACATATGTTGCTTACCTCTAGTTCTATACCTTCACGATATTTTTCTGAAGTATACTAGTAAGGTATTATATCCACCCCTTAGAGAAACCTGTAACTCCACCCTCTAGTGACCTCATGAAAGTGACACACTGGCTACAATCTAATGTGAAACAAGTGCTGTCATCCTTTAAGAAAAGCAAAATTTTCCTAAATGGGCTTTTTGGTCATCTTTCTAATAAGGGAACACTGTATATAAGATTACCATTTGTTTCTGCTTAGTTTTGTGTTATTTCCCTTGTGGATGATATGTTATTTATACTTTAAAAAGAAATACTGGGTTATATTTACTCATTGTATCATCTAAGAATATATTTTCTAACCTCTTTCTAATAACAAATAGACATTTAACATTAAGGATGGAATAGGCCAAGATTCTATCTCATTTATGTTTTGATTTATGTGAGCACTGATAATAGATTTTCTATTAACACTATGTTGTACTCTCTGCCTGGTAAAATAATTCATATTCCTGGGAATCCTCTTTGCTGTCCTAAAATATAGCTGGCAATACAAGAAAATAGGAACAATATAAATAATTACTAATGGTTTAAGAGACAAGTCTTAACATACCTCAGTTGGATAATGTTGTATTAATAATAACATGAAATACTAGACCCATTAAAAGTAGGAAATACCTGCCATAATTTAAAACTTATTGTGGAAGTTCTTGCCAATGCAGTAAGGCATAAAACAAAAACAAAAAGGTGTGATTATTGAAAAGTGGAGATAAAATTTTAATTATTTGTCAGTAAAACTACATACATCAAAGACTTGAGAGAAGTTGAAAATAAATTAATATGTTAATAAACTGGTCAGATATGAGAGGTATCTAAAATGCACAGCTTTTAATATACAAATATGATTTGATATATATAAGGTCTTCTTTTTCTGTGTATTAACTTTTTGTTTAGACAATAAATAGATTAAGATTGCATTATCAGGTTAGAGAATCAGGTGAGAGTAATGCCATAAAAATTTAGAAAGAATAAAGTTATAAAAAGGGCTTAACAACTATGTTAAGTGTTGCAGAAAGATCAGTGAAAATGAATCCCTATGGAAAGTGCTGATGGTTTAGAGAAAATTGGCTTCCTTTGGCAGAACTATGTTAGTAAAGGCAGTGGAAGCCAGACTCTGTGTGTGTGTGTGTGTGTGTGTGAAGAATGAATGTAATGTAAGAGCCAAGACATTTATTTGCGTTTGATAGTAATGGAAGTATAAAAAAAGGAGAGAATATTTTGTTGTTGTTTTGTTTGTTTATTTTCAGAACCTTCATTATTTGCTACTTGAGACTAGAAACTCCTCAGAGGCAGGATCTATGTTTCTGTGAGCCCTGCGGTGCATGGTACTGCCTTAAGTGTGTGAAGTTCTCATTTGGCTTTAAGTTTAATTAACGATTGTTAGTGGAAATCTTTAAAACGTTGATTGTGAATTCTAATTTACTAAGCTAGACAGCTTTTGATACATGCCCTGTAATAGTTCAGCTGTCCCAGGGCCAGCAAGAACAGGTGTGCAGCTGCTTTTCTCTGTGTCTAACCCAGCACTGATCTTACTGCCTTTACTCATGGGCCTCCTTTTGGGCTTCTTTACAGTTATGAAACCTACATAGTTGAACCCTACAGTGTTTCTCCTGTACGGCATGTGATGACGACGAGAGTTTGGCTTTGGAGTGCTCGGAACCTGAGGAACTGCCGAGGACTCAGAGCCCAGCCCTGACCAGCAGACAGCCCACAACACAATGAACAAATTGAACTTCCATAACAATAGAGTCATGCAGGACCGTCGGAGTGTGTGTATTTTCCTTCCCAATGATGAATCTCTGAACATCATCATAAATGTGAGTAGATCCAACTTTGTTGTTGTTGTTAGTTGCCATCAAGTCGACTCAGACTCATGGTGGCCCCATGTATGCAGACTAGAACTGCCTCCAAAGGGTTTTCAAGGCTGTGACCTTTCAGAAGCAGATCACCAGGCCTGCCTTTTGAGAGGCTTCTGGGTGGATTTGAACTACCAACCTTTCAGTTAGTAGTTGAGCACTTAACCATGCCACCCAGGGACTCCTTCATCCAACTTTAGAAATGTTTAAATATTCTATACCCACCAGTGACCACATTCAAGTTATGACTTTTGGTTAAGAGTGAAGTTGTTACAGAATGAAACCAATTATACTGTTGTAGAATTGGTGTCTTAAAGTTGACTACACAGATTGTCAAGAACTGTCGATATGGGATCTAATTGACAACAGCAATTTGAAAAGTTAGATGGGAGGATTAGAGTGCAGTGAGTTCATGTTTCAACAGTTTAGTAAAAGAGGATGAGAGTGGTTGCACAACTTGAAGAATGTAATCATTGTCATTGGATTGTCCATGTAGACTGTTGAATTGGTATATGTTCTGCTGTGTATATTTTCAACAACTTAAATTATATATATATGCTATACTATATATATATATATATATGAACCAACAATGGCTTCAACAATAGATTTAAACATACTAACAATTATGAAGATGGTATAGGACCAGTCAGCCAAAAAAAAAAAGTAATCTGCACAGGTATAATTTAGAATTATGACTTAGAGCAGCCACCTTCAACATTTCTTCACTGGTGTAAAATTGGAAAATTCTAGTTACTATCTTAGAAAAACAAACACTTGTTATTTTAAAACTTTTTATTGAAATACAATTTTTATTGAAACATAATATAAATTTGCTTTATACATGCTTTCGAGTTATCACCCACACATGAAATGATAATAATTGCTAGCTTTATATGTATCTTGAGTGTAGTTTAATAGTAGCTTAAGTCTAGCCAATTTCAGAAATTAGGTGCATAGGCTGTGCATTTGAGCACTGAGTTGTTGCTTATGGTTCATGAACCAAAGTCAGCTCCCTCATTTAACCTGGGCATTGAGGAATATCGTACTATTTAACTTTTAAAATTGAGTTATAATTTGCCTGCAGCAAAGTATAGGAATCTTAGGTATGCCACGCTATGAATTTTGGCAAGTATGTACACCCATGTAGCCACCATTGAGCTCAGAATAAAAAACATTTTCAGCATCCCAGAAAGATCTCCAGTGACCCCTCCTGGTTAATTACCTTCACCCAACCAAAACCAAACCAAACTCACTGCTGTGGAGTTGGGTTCCACTCATAGCGACCCCTGCTTGAGTTTCCGAAGCAGTATCACTACGAAAGTAGATTGCCCAACCTTCCTTCCAAGGAGTGGCTGGTGGGTTTGAACAGCCAGCCTTTTGGTTAGCAGTCAGATGCCTTAGGCATTACACCACCAGAGCTCCCTTAACCTTCACCCAGAGGGTAACAATGCTTCTGACCTGTATCATCATAGAGTAGTTTTGCTTGTTTTTGAATTTCATACAGGTGAAGAGTTATGTGGTATGTTCTCTTTGTGTCTGGCATCTTTCACTCAACATTTGACCTATGAGATTCATCCATGCTGTTGAATATAATAATAATTCTTTCTTTTTCACTATTGTATGATATTCCATTATATGAATATACCCAATTTATTTATCCATCTACTGTTGATAGCTACTGGATTGTCAAATTTTGGACTATTACGAGTAAAGCTGATATGGGCATTCTAGGCTTAGACTCAGAAGTTGAATTGTGAATTATAGGGTATATGTATGTTTAGCTTTGGTAGAGACTGACCAACACCTTTATGGAAATCAATATCATGCCTAGCATTTTTCAATCCCTTTACCTATTGTTGGGGAGCTCTGGTAGCATTGTGCCTAAGGCATTTGACTGCTAACCAGAAGGCTGGCAGTTCAAACCCACCAGCTACTCCTTGGAAGGAAGACTGGGCGATCTACTTCTGTAGAGATACTGCCTCAGAAACCCAAAGAGGGGTCGCTGTGAGTAGGAATCGACTTGACAGCAGTGAGTTTGATTTTTCCCCTCTCTCCATTGTTGACTTTAATATTCTTTTTTTCACTGATTTTGTTCTGATGAAATTATGGAAAATACTGCATTATTGAATGCCTTGAATTAGTTTTGTTTGTGATATGCTACCTATATTTTTAAACCAATTGCTCCATAAAAGAATACAGAAAATGTTATCCTGAATATATTTGTAACATTTAAATAGCTTCATGATAAGTTTCCTTAGGTAGGAAAAGGTACTGCTTAATATCTTAATTATTTTTATTTTTTCTGACAATCTCCAGAGTTTATTTATTTACTAATATCTAATATAGCTTTTTTTTGTTCATAGGGATTGTCTGAGCACTAAACATATCTATTGGATGAACTTTATCACTTGTTGGGTGAATTGTTAGTGTTTAACTATACTCTTGCCCATGTTGTTGTTGTTGTTATTTGCTGACGAGTCAGCCCTGACTCATAGCGACCCCTCCTTGGGTTTTCGAGGCAGTGTCACTACGGAAGTAGGATTGCCCAACCTTCCTTCTGAGGAGTGGCTGGTGGGTTTGAACCGCCAGCCTTCTGGTTAGCAGTCAAG